ATGCTGAGGACTCCTGTGGGGGGAGGTGCCGGCCACTGTGAAAGCTGGAGGCCCCCCAGGCCTCTGGCTCCCCTGCCCGTGAGCCCTGCTCAGAGGATCTGCTGCTCTCCCCAGATGCGGACTCAGGAGCCTTGAACTTGACCAAGGTCCAAGATTTTATTGCAAACTCAGAGACCCTTGGGCAGCCACAGCCCTCTTATCTGTGACTGAAGCTGGCCCAGAATTCAGGACCCATTCCCGTATCAAGGGCCTTCCAAGTGCAATGAGGCTTCATCCCGCCTCCTGTGGGGGAGAGAGAGAGCCCACCCAGCCCAGCCCCGCCCCATGACCCGCTGCTGACCTGGTCAGACCTGGTCCAGGGTTCAGTGCTCTGCACCCTCTGACCCATGAGTCACTGTCACCCCCTGCCTCAGTTTCCTCTCTGTGGATGGCCGACTCCACATTTCCTGGCAGCTGCCAGCCCAGCACTCATGGGCTACTCTTCCCCAGTGGTAAGGGCCTGGCCATGGGCCCAGCCTGGCATGTGGGCCGGGTGTCATTTACTGGCACCATTGCGTCCCACTTGGCCCTGCGTCTTCCGGGGTCCTCTGGCCCAGTGCGGCCCCACCCGGCCTGCCTTGCCTGACGTCAGAGCCTGCAGCACAGTCAAGACTTTGACCTTATTAAAAATACATGCTCACACTTCCCAAACGCAGACATAATTAATGAGAAAGGAGGCGCTGCTGTCCGAGCCGCAGAGGTCACTGAGGTTGTCAGCAGCGTCCCTCAAAGTCCTCCAGCCCTGCTGACTCACTGCCCACTCGCCTGTCTGCCCTGGGCCCTGGGCCTCCTTTACCACCAAAGGTAGCAAGTTCATGGGGGGCCGGTGCCTAAATGGGCCGCTGCCCCACAATGTGGTGCCACCTGGCAAGTGGAGGAACCTGGGAGAGAAACTGAGGTGGAAGGCTGGTTGTTGATGTCCAAGCCAGCCCTGAACAGGAGCCCCCCGAGCCCCAGTTGTGCCAGGTGCAGCCACCGAGCCTCTCTCTGTGCCTGGTCTGCACTCATGGTGTCGCTAGGTCCCCACGACCTCCTGTGGAGGCAGGGCATTCCTTTCGCATTCCCTTCGCTCTCCGATGAGTACCTGGGTGACCTTCTAGCAGGGAAAGTGACAATGAATAACTCATACTGTGCTGGTGGACAGACCACGTCTGATGGGAGGGGGCCAGTAAGAGAGTGATTGTTGCAGGCAGAGGGAACAGCCTGTGCAGAGGCCCCAAGGGGACAGGAGGAGGCCAGTGTGGCTGGAACAGAGCCGGGGTGGCCTGGGGACTCAGAGGAAGCTGGGCCAGCCCACGCAGGGCCCCACTGCCACGGTAAGGCCTCCTCTTCTGGAAGTTCCCGAGGGATGATAGATGTGATGTGACTTCCATCTTAAAAGAATCACTCTGGCTGCTTGGCTGAAAATAGACTGAGGAGAGGGGTACAGGGATCTGGGAGAGCAGCTGGGGTCCCCTAGCCGAGTGGATGCGGAGCAGGAGACAGGGAGAGGTTTGGTCTGAGTGGCTGGGAGTGTTGGGGAGGGCAGGCTTGGGCCAGGCCCCGAGGCCAGTTCCAGACACATCAGCCTGAGCCGCCTGCCAGGCATCCGAGTGGAGAGGTGGGCCGCAGCGGGTCAGAGGCTTCCCCAGGTCAGGGAGACGTGCTGGCCACGCGTCCATTGGGAAACAGCACATTTTCAGCCTAAAAGCTGAATAAGATCACCCAGGGAGCAGGCACGGATAATGAAGAAACGAGGTCAGGGATTGAGCCCCGAGACCCTCCAGCGTGTAGAGGCTGAGGAGCCGCAGCAGAGTCCAGACAAAGGGCGTCAGCAGGAGAGCGATTCCCAGCTGGGTTCCAGTGGGGCCGGAAGCCAGACCGGGCACCTCTAGAAGAAAGGGATCTACTGCGGCCCACCCTGTGCATGAAGCCATCAGAAGGGCCGGAGGAATTCATGTCCAGGGCAGCCTGGCTTTCCAGAGGGTCGGGACACTGTTGAGAGCCACTGCCCTGGCCCAGCTGCCCACACCCTCAGGTCGGGAGAGGCGGGTGGTGAACCAGCATCCACCACCCTGGTGAGGTGAGGAAAGGGCTGTCTCCCGTGCACCCCATTGCTCCTGTAAGCATGTCTCAGCAGAACCGAAATGCGCTGGAACCCCAGAGGAGGAGCCCGACTGAAGAATGCAGCTCTCGGTCACTGCAGTGCAGGGAGGCCTGGGGGCGGAGGGGTGACACTGTCTGCCGAAAGTGCCCAGAACACTCCCACGTGGAAGCAGGACCCCTCCAGTTACCTCATTACCCTGGTGTTTTCTTAACATAAAAACAATTGAGGAAATCACAAAGGGAAAGGTAGACTTGACATGAGAAAGAACGTAAAGCTTCAACGTGCTCTACATGCTTCAAAGTATTTTACACAAAATTAAAAGGCGAATTACAGACTCACAACCACTGTCACATTAATGCCTGTGTTAATAGCTTTAATATAGAGAGAGCTCATAAGAATGACTAACAAAAATATTACTCCAATAAGAAAAGTTAGCCGAGAATAGAAATTGATAATTCACAGAAGAATACAAGTAGTGTCCCAACCACCAAGCTGCCACAGGAAGCGCCCCAGGCTCTCCTGACCCGGGGTGGTGGGGGGCTAAGGGCCTCGGCCATGCACCCCCAACACCCGCAGCCAGCCCAGTGGTGACCACCGAGCTGCCGCAAGAAGGGCGGTGGGTTCCCGAGCTGGGACAGTGGGGGGTGAGGGCTTCTGCCACACCCCCTGACATCTGCCCAGCCCAGCAATGACCAAGCCACCTCTGGAAGCCCCCCGGTCTCCCCTATGGAAGTGAGGGCGTCCCACAGGCCTCAGTCCCACCCCTCCTCCTCCATCCTTCCTCCATCCCGTTTCCTTCCCCTTCCCCTCTAACCCTCCCTCCCAATTGCTCCATAACGGAATCCTAGAACATAAAACATAATATTAATAAAATTTCATTTTCTTTAAAAAAAATTAGTTAAAAAGAAATAACACATGTCCATTAAACATGTAAAAATTTTGCTGCTAATAAAAAATTCAAAATAAAACAATGACATACCAGTGTTTATTTATTAGATTAGCAGAAGAGAGAAGATTTTTTTCAATGACCCTGCCAGTGAAAGTTGGGCAACACACACGCACACTGGCTGCTCCCAGTTTATTTTGGTGCCGCCTTTCTGGAAGGCAGCTTCACACATCCAGAATCTCTTTTTTTTTTTTCCTTTTTGTCTTTTTTTCGTGACCGGCAACGGGATCGCAACCCTTGGTGTCGCGTCCGCACTGCGCTCAACCAGTGAGTGGACCGGTCTCTATATGGGATCCAAACCCTCGGCTGGAGCGCCACTGCGCTCCCAAGCACCGCACTCTACCGAGTGCGCCACCGGGCCAGCCCCAGAATCTCTTTAAAGGGAGTGACTGGCTGAAGGAAGAACCTGTTAATCATTTTTAGATTATTATAGAAGTAGCACATGTCGATTGCTGAACAATGTGTCTGTAGAGAAATGAGCTGAGCAGAGGCAAAGTCTCCCAGCTTCCCACTTCCCACCATGTGCATTTCCCTCTCTCTACACGAGTTTCCATCCGCTGGGCTCATGGTCTGCATTTTCCTTGTACACCATACTGACCGTCCTGTCACCCAGTTGTGAGCTTTCCGTCACTCTCATCCACAGCATGAGGACTTTGTGTTTGACACAACGATCCCTTGTTGCTGGGCATTCAGGTTGTTCCCATTTTCACTACTGCGCATGCCATCGCCCGGACTGCTCGTCCACGGGTCTTTCCTGCATTCTGGATGGTTTCCTTAGACTCCCAGAAGTGTAACTAGTGAATTGAAGGGTATGGAAAACAAGGTTCTCAAAACAGATTTCCAAATGGCTTTTGGGACAGACTCGACGGCACCCGTTCCCACCAGCTTTCCTCGTTGCTACGCTGGCAGCATTACATATTCTTATTTTCTTTCTTCTTTTCAAAATCTTAATTACTTTTTTGAAGAAGGAACACATGTCATGCACAGGGTACAATCCCCAAGATGTTCCAGAGGGTGAACGGGAAAACGTCAGTCCCCACCCCCAGCACCAGTTGTCTCCCCAGAGAGGACGCCGTTCCTACCTTTGCTCGGTAACTCCCATCTTGCTTTTTATACTTGATTCGTTTTCATTCATTTATTTGAAAGCTTTTATATAAGCTCATTTCTTAAAGTACTGTGGTGAAGGGCCGGCCCGGTGGCGCACTGCTACAGTGCGCCGCTTGGGAGCGTGGCGGCGCTCCCGCCGAGGGTTCGGATCCCACATACAGACCGGTTCCCGCTCACTGGCTGAGCGAGGTGCGGGCCCAACACCTAGGGTTGCGATCCCGTTGCTGGTCCCGGTCCGGTATGGGCGCAACACTGAGGGTTGCGATCCGTTGCCGGTCATGAAAAAAAAAAAAAAAAAAAAGAACTGTGGTGAAATGCACAGGACATGAAACTTACATTTCACCCATATGGAGCGTAGTTGCTCAGCAGTAAGCACATTCACGTTGTCGTGCAGCCGTCACCACCATCCGTCTCCAGAACACTGTCATCCTCCCAAGCTGAAGCTCCATCCCCATCAACGCTGACTCCCCTTCCCGTCCCCAGCCCCGCACACACCACTTCACCTCCTGTCTCTGTTCTCACACAAGTGGAAGCACACGGTCATACTTCTGTGTCGTTTTCTGTGTATTTCTGTCTTTGCACCCACCTTGCTGTCTAGCCCCGGTGCCCCTGTGGGCCCAGTCCCTCGGGGGCGCCGTTCCTGCTGGCTGTGGGCGCTGCCAGCTGCTCTGGGAGGGTCACGCTCGGTCACCAGCCTCTGCCCAGCATGCGCGGGCCCGTGCCCCCAGGCCTCACACCGCGTGTCCGACCTTCCTGGAGCCTGAGCGCCTGCAGCCGCCTGCGCCTGGCCCTGGCGAGCGCCCTGTGCGGTCTCTCTTCCAGGCTCTGAGCCCCCAGAAGCGGGCGTTCATTCTGGAGGTTCTGTCTGGGTGCCTCAGGTACCGGAAGATACTGGCCGTCGTGGTGGACGCCTTCTATGTGCGGGATGGCAGGCTCTGCCCGCGGGCCGACTACAGCCTCTTCGAAGGTAGGTGCCTGTCCTGGCCAGCCAGGCCCACGCATCCCCGAGGGCCTCCTGGATGAGGGGGCCGCAGAGACCATCAGGGTGACCTAATAGAGAGGCACATGCGGAAGGCCACCGCCCGAGCTTCTGCAGTGCCCCTGCCTCCTGGAGGCTGCACAGCCCCTGACCTCACTCGATCCTCACGGTCACCCTGAGCGGGTGGGCCAGGGTGGGTATGTCTCCCCACTTTACGGATGGGGACACTGAGCCCTCAGGCGTACTGAAGGCCAGGCTCAAGGCAGAGAGACCTTGGCCCTGCTGCCCTGTCCAGAGCCTCTGGCCCCTGCGGGAGGCCCGGCCTAGCTGAGAGATTGCCCCCCAAAGGCCAGCCTGGGCGAAATGCAGAGCCCTTCATGGGCTGACTTCCTGACCCTGACTGCAAGGCCTCTGGGCAGGGTCAGCCCCACCGACACAGTCTGGACCATCCTGGGGGGTTAAACATGAGAAGCATCTCTGCCTGGGCTTCCTGTAGGCCTCTGACGGCCATCTGTTTCCATGGGGCAAGGCAACCATTGTGGGCAGGGTGGCCATTGCCTCCACCAGGGGAGGTCGATCGGTCCAGCCCTGGGACCCTGCACTTGGCCTGGCTGCCCGCGTCCAGGAGGAGCAGGGGTGGGTGAGGGCTGCAGGGTGCTGGTAGGCCGAGCTGGGGGGCTGACGGCAGGCCCAGAGCTGGGCTCCTGCCCTGGCCCCCGGGCCCCTTCACCGCCCAGCTGGGGTTTCACAGCCTGCACACCGGGGAGTGTGACAAGCAGTGCCTGCCTCAGGAACTCGCCTCACCCAGGTGCATTCACATTCCAGTTGGCATGAGGCGATTCAGCCTCTCAGAATTAACAAGCTAGAATCCAAAGTGAGTTCACTTTTCCCAGGGAAGCTTTGGAATTTCTGAGAACTTATTAAATGAGACAATATTTTTGGAAGTGCTTTGAAAACCACAGTGCCCGTCGCCTGTTCGTGCAGTGGTGTTCGTCTTGTCTGTATTAGGTCATCATTTCCACATGGGCACCGGGCAGGAGTTTCTGCCTGTCCTTACGAGCTCCAACGTGGGGGAGGCCCTGGGTTCGGGGTCTGCGGCACCCATAGTACACCTGTGACTTAGCTCTGGCAGAGGCCCCCAAGGTCAAATGGGACCCCCCCCCCGTGGGACGGGATGGCAGCCCTTCCCACCCCACGCTCCCACTGCCCTTGTCTCCCCAGTGATCTGCTACCTGGCCACCTTCCAGCTAGAGGAGCTCGGCTTCCAGCTCTTCTGCAACATCGTCAAGTCCCAGCCAGTGGCCAAGGTGTGCAAGGTGAGCCACCTCCCCACCTGCCGCCGACCTGCAGGACGGGGTGGGGCTGAGAAACCCAAGGAGCAAAAGGTCTGTCCGGCCAGTCGCCGACCTTTCACCATTCTGGTTTATTTACGAAAGCAGCTCTGGCAGGTTTATTCTGTGTTTAAATCCGACTGACGCCCTCTCATCATAGCGAATGTGCTCTGTTTGTCCCGGGAAAATTTGATTTCCATTTCTCATGGTGCCGGTGGGCGGTGATGCCTGATTGCCAGTTGTGGGTCGGGACTGGGAGTCATGGCCTGCTGTTAGCTGGGCCTTTGGAACCTTCTCGGGCCTCTTCTGACTCATGACCAAACTCCAGGCCCAGGACAGCCTCCCCTCCCTCCTGGGGGCCTGTGCAGTTTCAGCGGGGCTGAGGGAATGAGGTCCTGGAGAGTAGCACCCTGAAAGCCGGGTCACCCAGGCCTCCGGGCCAGCAGACCAGTAACGTGTGTGCCCGAGGCCCACTCCTCTTTGCTGGGCAGCTCCCACGGGGCGTTTGCTGTGGGCCAGGCCGCCTCCGCGAGCCTACGGTGCTTGTTCTCGCCACATCCTCATGACAACCTGTGAGGTCACTCCCTCGCGGTGCTCATCTGAAGGTTGAGGAAACTGGGCACAGAGAGGTTGAGTAACTCGTCTAACGTCACACAGCAAGTGAGTAGTGAAGCTGATTCTTGGACGAGGCTTTTAGCCTCTGGCTGCTCCTCCTTGCTCTGCTTAGAGGGGGTGGTTGCCAGCCCAGGAGAGCGACTCCCTGGAGATGAGAGAGGGAAAGGCCTAAGGCCCAGCGGTGCTTCGGGCGTTTCTGGAAGGAAGCAGCCTGTTCTGCAGGGGTTGTCCCTGGCCTGGGGAAGGAGGAGACTTGGAGCAGTGTGCCCTCAGGACCACAGCACCCAGAGGTCCAGGACTAGCTGCTCACACAGCACCTCAGCCACCTAACAAGCAGCACAAGAGAAAGCACTGACCCAAGCCAGCATTTCTTTTTTTAGTGACATGGTTTCCTATCCATATGTAAACATAAGTATTTCACGGTGGGTTTGTATAGCTACCTTAAGCAAGGTTTCATTTTTATGAAAAAGAAGCAAAACTGACAGCACTTTCTGAGAGATGCTTTGAGACTGGTCCAGGGCCGGCTTCCCCCAGCTCAGAAGGGCCCACAGCAGTTTACACCCTGCTGCCACCGCTTTGAAGGTCTTAATCATTACTGAGCAAGGATCTGCGTTCATCTTGCACTGGGCCCTGCAGTTGGGGAGCCAGCGATGGACCGACATTGGCCTGCAGAGCCCCAAAGTGCTGGCCCAGGACAGAGCGCCCAGAGACTGTGCAGAGACTCACTGCGTGCTCGGGGCCAGCACAGCGCCCCCGGTGCAGGTGGCTGGGCATTGACCAGCCCAGAGCTTCTGGAAGAAGATTCATGCAAACAGCCCACACAGATCCCCAGGGGAACAGAGAAGCTGCAGGGGTGGCATGGCAGCCCAAACAGGGCCTTCCCTCCTGGGATCCATGCCCCGTGCCCCATTTTGTTGGGGACAGGAAGCCCCCACAGACACACCCTGGGGACATCACCACTGTGGCACGTGGTAGTAAGTGTGGTGTGCCTGGTGGTTCTTGGGTGGCCTCAGCCCGTGGCTCCACAGGAGATGGTGCCCATCACCCCCGGCAGCACCTGGAGGGGGCGGATGGCCCTGCTAGTTCCAGGGACCCCACGCTATGCGCTGATGGAATCCACCAGACAGCCAGAGGGCTTTCTCAGACCCACGCTGGACCGCTTCCTCCCTCCAGCAGCCTCCCTGGTAAGGCTGCCCTCATTGCACCCTGGTGAGAATGGCGGCCTCATCAGGGACCGCCTGTCTTGTGGGGGAGGGGCACCCAGGAATCACAAATGGGACACGCCCAAATCGGGGTGGGCCAGGCGAAGGGGAGGGGAGACCCCAGTGCCCAACAGCAGGGGGCCGCTGCCCGCTGCAGGCAGGAAGCAGCAGCAGGGCTAAAAAAGGGAGATGAGACGGGGCGGGGTGGGAAAGAGGGCGACAGGGCAGTGGCCCAGGCCAAGGGGCAGAGAAGGCCTGTGTAGGGCGGAGAGGGCGGGAAGAGGCCACTGGGGTGGGTGAGTGGTGAGCAGGCTGCTGCGTGGGGAGCGGTGGGAGGCCCGCGGGGAGGCAGGAAGCTGGTGAGGGCGAGGCTGCTGGGGGGGGCGGTCACACTGGGGAGGTGGCCACAGGGACCAGAGGCTCTGCCCAACCCACACCCAGAAGTGGCCACCCTTGCCCACTGCTGGCCCTCACTCGGCCTGTGCTTTCTGGACTGCCTCCCTAATAGACAACCTGCTCCCAAGGCCCACAGCTCAGTGTGCTTTTGGGGACCGAGACTAAGGCACCATATTTGCTGTGTTACCACGAAGTCATCCTGGGGGACTCTGACATGCAGTGCTGGAGCCCCACATACAGTGGCATCCATGGCAGCCCCAGGACCCTTGGCCTCCCCTTCCTGCTGGTTTTCAGGGACTTGACGGTTGTGTTTTCAGCTTTTGGACACCTCCCATAGGGCAGCAGGGGGTCCTAGGCAAGGCCTGGGGGCCTGAGCCTCTGTTCCGGCTGTGCAGAGGCCAGCTCCTGGGGCTGCCCCTCCTGGCCAACTGACAGTTCCTTTCTGTGAAAGGGGGTCTTCCAGTTCCCCGAGGTCGTTGGGCTCCACTGGGGAAGCTAAATGGGTCCTGTGTCTTCTAGAACCAAATCTGTTAGACTTGGGAGCTAGGAGCTGGGAGAGAGCCTTCAGAAGCCCATGGCCACTGGAAATCCCCACCGTGTCCTGGTCCGGGCCATCCCAAGGGCATGCCAGGCTCTGCCCATACGGACGCTGTGCCAGACCAGGGAAAACAGCCTCAATCCGAGTGCTGGGACCAGCCACCCACTGGTTGAGTGGACAAGTCACATCCCCAGGGTGGGCTGGGACTCCCTGCGCTTCCTACCAGTTCAGAAAGCTCCCCAGGGGTCATCTGCTGGCAATGCCCTGGGCAAGGGTGGGGGTTGGGTAGCAGAAAATGGTGCAATTTCATTCTTGGAATTCTAGAGCCCAGCAGTGGGGGTGGGAGTGGGGGAGACAGGCAGCTCTCCATGTGTTCCCCCAACAGCAAGAGGTGTGGGGCCCTCCAGGTCCTGGGGAGCTGGGTGGGGGCACATGTCCCCCGTCAGCAAGGACATGCCCTACCAGGCTGGGGCACATGAGCGGTAGTCTGGCCTCTTCCTCACCCAGGGATGCTACAGGGAGGGAAGGACTGTCCTGAGGGCTGTGGTCTCTTCTCCGCTGCCTGCCGTGCAGCTATGACCCCAGGCTGGGGGTTTCTGCAGGTGGGGGTCTGGGCCCGAGGCTCCCGCCTCCTGATGGCTCCCGCTCCTCCTCAGTTCCTCGGGTTCTTCTTCAACCCCATACACCTGTGCTCATGGGTCAAGGACGAGTGGAGCCTCATCTACGAGACGGCCCATGTGAGGGAGAACTGGATCAACCCCCTGATGCGGTGGGTCAGGCTGGTGCAGGGCGTGGGTATGGGGGGCTCCCGAGCGAGGGGCGGTGATGGTGGCCCCAGCCCTGAGGGACCCTGCAGGGCTCCAGTCCTGTCCCTGGCCACTCTGGGGATCCCAAGACTGCAGGCATGGGGTAGGGTGGGGGCTGAGAAAGCTGTAGCTCAGCTTCTGTTGGCTTCAGGCCTCAGTCTCTCTCTGTTGTCCCCAGGGCGCCACTCCCAGGCCTGCCACCCAGAGCTGTTCTGGTCTCCCGACAGGCTGGGGCAAACCCAGGCGCAGGCTGAGGCTTGCAGGCAGAAGGGGCTGCACAGTCGCTTGGACCCTGCCCTTATACTCCTTGCAGAGGCCTGCCAGGGCCAGGTGCAACTGGGGAACCCCCCCCCCCAGTTGTTTCCCTTCTGGTAGAACTGGGAAGGAGCCACCTTATCCTCCTGGGGACAGACAGATCATTTGTGCACAGCAGACCACTTAGGTGCCAGCTGTACGTGGGAGAACCAGAGGCCCAGAGGAGGTGGAAGCCCCTCCTGTGGGAGGAGGAGGCCCTGGCCCCAGGCAGTGGGGTCTCCGGAACTGCCCCTTCACCAAGGGGAAGTCCTCAGTCCCAGGCAGCCCACTGCCAGCAACTGGGATAAACCCCAATGGAATGGGGGCATGGCCCTGCAGGTACCTCCCTTACCTGCTGGACACTCTGCCCGCCCACAGGGTGCCACCCCTGTCCTGGGCCTGCGGGGACACCTCTGAGCAGCTGCTTGGCTTGGTTCCAGTGCACCTCTCCTCCCACCCCAACACCTGCACATGCAGGCTTCCCCTGCCCACTCTAGGACCAGCCTTGTCACAAACCTCCTGCCCTTTTCCTCCACCTGCCCCAAAGTTGGTGGCACTGGGGCCTAGCCCTAGAGTGGCCTCCTGAGGCCACTGCACATGCTTCCTCCCTCCCTCGGTGGCCATGGTTCTCAGGTGAGGTGGGAGCGATTTTAAACCATTCTGTCTGCCCTCAGGGGAGCCCCTGGGAGGGGACACTGGAGAGGCTGGTGAAGGTGGGCTGCGCCAGCACAAGGTTGTAGGCATGGAAGGGGGAGCCCCAGACCTTGGGCAGCCCAGCAACACCCTTCCCAAAGCCCTGCCCCAGAGCACCCGCACTGGTCAAGGCTGTACCCAGAACAGCTGGACTCCATGCAGGGGGATGCAGCCCTCACTGCCCCCAACTCCTGCAGCTCCCTCTCCACCTGTTGCCAACAGTGAAGCTCCAGAACGTTCCTTTCCAGTGGCAGCTTCCCTTCCCCCCTCCTGGCTTCCTTCCCCTGTGCCACCTGCTCCAGCCCAAATTAGTTCTGTGTCCCAGCTGTGGCTTGTCCTCAGAGCCCCCCAGATTCCTGCAGCGAGACCTCCCCAGCCTTGCAACTCCCCACATGCCAGCATGTCCCAAGACAGCAATGCCCCGGCCTGTTTCCTTGTCTATGCACAGGGGATACTGACATTACAGGGGTGTTGCTGACACCGTGCCTGCAAGTGTAGACACTCAGTGAAGAGGGGTGTTGGGCCATCATCACCCTCACCTTGAGGTGGACCGAAGCACTCGGGGGTACTTTGGATCCCAAGGGCCACCCCCTTGTTGACCTGCTTAGGAAGTGACCCCGAGGGGCTTCTCCACTTGTCCTTTCCAGATGGCAGCCGGAGATCCAGGAGCTGATCAACCAGCTGGAGGGAGCGCCGGCCAGTCAGTCCCTGCCTCCAAAGGCCAAGGCCAAGGTCACAGAGCCCAAGGAGTTCAACCTGACCGTCCCCAAGCCCCGCACCATTCCAGTGCCTGAGCCTGTCCCTGTCATGGCCAAACCAAGACCAGTGAGTGCAGGGATCACAGGCAGCATGGGCCTGTATCCAGGCTGGGAGAATGGACCGTGTGGGCCAGTGGGAAGCTGGGCTCCTCCAGGCTAAGGGTGTACTGGGCCAGACCAGGGACATTCGATGACCCCACCCAGCCCCACCCCACACCCCACAGAGAGGGAGCCCAGCTGAGCTGGAGCCCAGCCAGTGGTCCCAGTCAAGAGGCGCTGAGCGAAGCTGTCTGGTCACAGGGTTCAGAACTGTCTGGACTTGGAGCCTGGAGCCCACACATAACCCTGGTGCAATGTACCACCCCCTCCCCATTAAAAACTACGTATGTAGATCACAGTATGCTCTGTGCAGGGGCAGGCGATGACGTGTGTCTGCGCGAGCTCCAGTCTTGCCCATCCCAGTGCCTTTGCACACGTGGCCCATCTGCCTTGAGCCCCTTCGTCTCCCTCCCTCTGCTGACTTACTGTATCAGTCAGGATGCTTTGTACTGAAGTTACAGAAAAATGCAGCTCAAACTGGCTTAGACAAGAGAGCACTGGCGGACTCTCATGACTGAAGTAGCTTAGGCTTCAGGCATGGCTTGATCAGGGTTTCAGTTCTGCTTCTCTGTGACTCTCTCTACCCTGGTCTTCTCTGTGGGCCACCTTCATATTTGGGCTAACCTCCTTCATTATAGCAAAAAATCCAGGCCTCATGGCCACACTCTACACCGTCCAGGGCATGAGAGGATATCTTGGGCCAAGAATTGTTTGGAAAGGTCTGACTGGGCCAGCTGAGGTCCCGTGCCTGCCTCACCAGGGAGGCAGTGTCCTGACTGGTCATGGGCTGTATCTCAAGCGCCAGCAGTGGACTCAGCTTCCCAGAACAATCTGGCTCCCCAGCAGGACTGAGGACTGTACGGGAGGGTAAAGGGACGGTGCAGAGAGTTCCAGGGTCTCACCCCACTCCTACCAACCTTCAGGTCTCATTAAAATTTCTCTTGCCAGGAGGCTCTTTATAACCCCCTCAGCAGTATCCAGCCCCTCCCTTAGCTTCCTTCTCATTGACCCCAGCTCCTTTTCTTCGTAGCATTGATTAGAGTTTATAGTTGTTTAGTAATTTGTGGGCTATTCATTGTCTGTCTCCTCTACCAGACATCCATCTTATTTGTCCCATAGTCCCAATGCCTGGCATAGTCCTGGCTCAGAGCAGACTCTCAGTAAATACTTGTTGGTCAGACAGATGGATGGATATGGACAAGTGGACGATGGGATGGATGGACAAGTGGGTGGATGGATGGATGGATGGATGGATGGATGGATGGATAATCAGATAGATGGACAAATGGGTGAATGGATGGATGGATGGATGGATGGATGGATGGATGGATGGATGGATGGATGGGTGAATGGGTGAATGGATGGATGGATGGATGGATGGATAATCAGATAGATGGGCAAATGGGTGAATAGATGGATGGATGGATGGATGGATGGATAATCAGATAGATGGGCAAATGGGTGAATGGGTGGATGGATGGATGGATGGATAATCAGATAGATGGGCAAATGGGTGAATGGGTGAATGGATGGATGGATGGATGGATGGATGGATGGATGGATGGATGGATGGATGGGTGAATTGGATGGATGGATGGATGGATGGATGGATGGATGGATGGATGGATGGATGGATGGATGTTGAATGCATGGATGATGGATGGATGGATGGATTTGGGATGGATGGATGGATTTGCGATGGATGGGTGGGTGGATGGGTGATCAGGGTCCTTGTTGCTGAGCAGTGCCACAAGTACCCCATCTGCAGGATCTTCAGCATTTCTGACTCCATCTCATCAGGACTCAGTATGTTTGTCTCAGGTCGTCCTGCCAGCTGCATCTCTCTCTCGCTCTCTACCTGGCACAGCCCCTGTGCCGCCCCCACCCTGCCCTGCCCTGCTCTGCTCTATAGCTGTACCCTCCCTGCCCTGCCCCGTGCCCAGCACTGAGGGCCCACTCCAATTCACGCATTCATTCACTGAACAAATAGTTACGGAATGCCTAGTGTGTGCCAGGCTCTATTCCTTCATGGAGCATGCATTCCAGCAGGGGACTCAGACAAAACCCAGGGTAAGTAAAACGTATGAAGTGTTAGCTGGTGATAAATGCCGAGGAGAAACTAATGCAGGGCACGGGGAAGAGAAGTGTTGGAGTAGTTACGGTTCTGGTGTAGCGTGGCCAGCAGAGGCCTCCTGGGAAGGGCCGTGGAGTAAGAGCCGGAAGAAGCGAGCAAGTGAGCCCTGAGTTGTCTCAGGGAAGAGCGTTCCAGGCAGTGGGCCAAGCCCACGCGGTGGTCCTGGGGCAGTGTCCTCCCTGCCCCGAGAGTTTGATGACGGCCGGGGGGGCTGGAGTGGAGTGAGGACGGAGAGAGCGGAGGGGAGGTATCGGGCCAGCCACGTGCCCACCGTACGGGCAGAGGACAGGGTCCCTCCAGCTGCCACTGCAGAGAAGGGTGATGGGGGGCACTTTGAGGGGACTTTTTGCAGCAGGTGGGCAGGATTGGAGATGGATGTGGCTGTGAGAGATGGAGGCGCTGAGGGGGACTCCAGACCTTGGCATGAGTGGGGGAAGGGACAGTAGTAGTTAAGGGCAGTGAGGCTGGGGGAGGGGCGGGCTTGAGGGGGGTGAGGGTTTCAGGTTTGGACAAGTGGAGTTTGCCTGTCAGACGAGCATGGAGAAGCACGGAGTGGAAGGGTGGAGACAGGAGTCTGGAGTTCAGGGGTGTCCGTGCTGGGTCTGTCCTGCCCCTGCATGGACATGGCTCCCACCAGGTTACCGAGAGCCTCCTGTGACTGAGCCCAGCTGACGTGCCCCAGGCCACCGTCGTCCCTGCAGTATGCCCTTCACTGGCAGCTCCCTTTTCTGGGGTCTGTGACTCTCAGCCTCCCCTGTCCAGTCAGGCACCCTCTGCCTGTCGCTCCAACATCCAGGGACCTGGCTTCCTCCTCTTCTTGCTCCTCTCCCACCCTGGCCATCGCATCTAGGCCGATGACGTGCCCTCAGTGCTGCTGGTCACATCTCACCCGGCCCACCCCGGCCCAGCAGGTCCCAGGTGGCACTCAGTGACTTCCATTGCCGCCCGCGGCTCCTCCGGTGCAGGCCACCGCCCACCCTCTTGCTTCCTGGCAGCACCCTCTGCTTCACCTACATCCAGCCGGCCTCTGCCCTGGCGTTTCTAGACCCTCTCCAAATGGCAGCTGCTGACCATGGCTCTTCCTCTGGCCACCACCAGGTCCCTCCGAGCACCTACCAGCTGCCCAAGGAGCACCAGCAGCTGGAGATGGTCAGGAGACACAACCGCCGGAAGGCCGAGGTGAGCGGTGCCAGCCCTGCCCCCCTAGAGACCCCGATGGGGGGCATGGGAAGGGAGGGTGGGGAGGGAGAGAGAAGTGGGAGGGGAGGTGGAGGGGAGTTGGTTGGCGCACTTGTCTTCCCACGGCCCCGAGGACACGGGGTGGCGGCCGGTGACGCTGGAGCTGCTGTGTTGTTGTGGCAGGAGCGGCTGCTGAGGGCGAACACCGAGGAGCTGCGGTGTGCCATGCCCAGGTCCCGTGGGGAGCCACCGGTGCAGGTAGCATCCGTGTCCCAAGACCAGACTTCGTGATGGCATCTTCTCATGTCACAAAAAAGGTCCTCCCAAGGCATTTCAGTGGTGACACAACAGGCCACTCATTTAGCCTTTTCCGGTCGCGGGCTCTGGAGGCGGGTCCCCAGTAACCCTGGAACAGGTCCCCGAGCCTCGCAGACGAAGCCGCGCTGCTGCTTGTGCCCCTGAGCAGGCAGGTGTAGACGCGTGTCCAAAACCACTGGAGGAAGCTCGGCAAAGAAAGCGGCTATGGTCGCTGTCTCTCGGTGTTTCCAGATGTCCCATCTGAGCGTTTAATACTTCTGTAGGAAAATCCAAGGCATGTCTTCCAATAAAGTAGAGGAGCAGGACAAGGGAAGACGGTGCTCCGGTGACACTCGCACAGGAGCATGGCCCACCTGGGCAGCCGCGGACCTGGCAGAGGCGGGCCTCCCCCAGCAGCTGGGGCCCGGAGAGTGGGCACCCCGCACAGTGGCTTGCCTGGGGTTGTGATGGTTGAGTTCTTGTTGTGGGGGGCTTGTGCCAGCTCCTCCCACACACTGTGACTTGTGGTACCCACCCCGGGCTGTGTCAACAGAGCAGCAGGGGGAACACAGACTCAGGGAGCAGCCCATCTCTGGGGTAGCTGAGGAGGCAGACGCCGAGCCCTGGGTCCAAGCCGTCCTGACTAGGAGCTGCTGTCCCCAGGACCCGCAGGCCCTGAAGCTTCCCTGCTCTTGCCTGGGTGGTTCAACACCACAGCAAGGCTTGGGAGAGCTTTGGGGGACAGAGATGCAGCCCTGGAGGCTGGGGTGGGAACACATGGATGGGCAGCTGGAGTTAGGATGGAGGGGAGTGGCCGGGCCTCCCAGGGGCACTTTTGGGCACCTGAGGGCACAGGTGCTGAGCTGCAGTCTCCACCCTGACTCCTGCAGGACTCTAAGAAGAAGCCACGACTTCGATTCCCACCCCGAATCCAAAGGACTCCGAAGCTGACCTTCTACAGGGTGAGGGGTGCTCGTGGCGGGTCAGGCCCACCTCCCTGGGCACCCACCCTCCTGCCTGTTCTGCCCCTGAAGGCTCAGATGGCTGGAGCTGGGGGACCCAGAGGCTCCAAGACAGCCCCATCCTCGAGGCAGAGTGAAGTGCCTGGGCAGGGAGCAAGTGTGAAGGGCAGGAGGCCAAGAGGGGCACTTGCTGCTCCCCTCACGCCCACCACAGCCCACCCCTCCCCTGCCCCACAGCCTGACAACGTCCCAGTCAAGCTGAACACTGCTGCCATCCTGAGAGAAGGGGCCTTATACCAGCGGCAGGTGGAAAAAGAGCTGCAAAGGTGAGGGGCGGCAGACTGAGGCTCCCTTCTGCCCCCCTCCCACCTTCCACAGTGTCCCCCTTGGGAGGGAAGACCCCTGAGAAGGAGCCTGGTGGCCGGGCAGCTCAGCAGAGAGGGGGCTCAGGGGTCACGATCAGGTGTGGTCTGGGGGTGGGCGGCGGGCAGGTGGTGGGTCAGGGGCACGGCTGCATCTTACAAAGACCATCCCAGCTCAGGGCAGGAGACGGACCGGGGTAGAGGAAACTGAGCAGACACCTGGCCCACCCAAACCTCCCTCGGGGTCAGCTCCTCCTCGGGCCCCTTCCCGACGCCCCTCCCCTAAACTGCCAGGGCTGGAAGCCCCTGTGCTTACCCCACGCTGGGTAGTTGTGTCTTTCCATGTCTGCAAATTGGGCTGCGGGTGGGAGCTGAGCGGCTGAACAGATGGGTGAGTGGGTGTACAGACGGGTGGACAGAGGGACGGCAGGTGGACAGACAGACGGAGGGACGGTGCACAGGCAGAGGCTGACGGTGGACACAGGGCTGATGGGTGGATGGGGGAGTAGACAACAGGTAGAGGAAGGAAGGGTGAGATGATGTGAGCGATGGGAGGATGCCCAGGATGGGGACAGGTGGGCGGGCGGTGGGGGTAGGGGTGGGGGCCGGCCATGTGCTGGGTGTCGGATGACTAGCAGCCCGTGCTGTGACGCCACTGCCCTTAGGGGAGCCTGTGGCCTCCTGGTGGCCCCAATCACAGGAGGAGCCCCAAGCTGCATCTCTGTCCCTCTCTCCCCAGGGTTGACAAGCTTGTGGACGGGGCTGGGGACTTCTCTGAGTTCCTCAAGTGGCAGAAGAAGATGCAGGCGAAGGACAGGGAGGAGCAGCTGGCCGCAGGCGAGTGCCGGCGGCTGCAGGGCAAGCTCAGCCACGAGGAGGCCGTCCTGGCCCGGCAGCACCTCGTGCAGGAGAACAAGCAGAAGGCGGACCACGGGAAGCAGGAGGTGACGCCGGCGGACGTGGCCGTGGCTCTCGAGCTGGCCCCGGGTCCTTTCCTCTCGAGACCCGTCGGGTGGCTCTGGTTTCTCTGACCCTCCTCAGTAGGCAGGGCTCGGCGGGGCTGCGGGCCTGTCGGGCCAGCACTTCTGCTCCAGCCTGCCCACCCCCCGCTAGCAGGCTCAGGGGGCCCACAGATCCCTGGGTGCCCCTGAGGGAACCCTGAGGTTCTGGCAGAAACTTCCAGAAGGCAGACATGTTTGTGGATGGTGTCCTCTCCTGCAGGAGCGTTTGTGGGCATCCACGTTACCATTTTAGAAGCTCCTCATGTGTCAGTCCTGGCTCTTCTTCCTTAGGACGTGCGGCCTGCAGCCTGCTCCGTACCTGTGACCCCCAAAGCCTGTCCCTGCCAGTGGGCCTCCCAGAGGCCTGGACAGTTGGGGACCCCGCTGTTGCTCTTTAAATGTATCCTACTGACGGCCTGTGGTCAGGGGCCTTACAGGTCACTCAAATTCCTTCTTCTGATAGACTCACTTGTATCTATATTCAATTTTAGGGTTTGCTTTTTCCTTCCTTTTTAGTTTATTTCTTTAAAAATATGAAGCCCAAACAATATGAAAAAGTACTTAGAAAAAAGTATAAGTCTGCAACTTACAACCCACTTCCACCTACCCTCGTAGGTCATTATTTCCATTAATTTCTGCATTATCTTTCCTGTCTTTGTTTCTAAGCAAATAACAAGCTGGTATAGATACTTAGGTGCTTCATAAAGCTCATGGAAAGGTTTGTTTTATCTTTAATTCCATTTTTCCATGAATTTTATGAAGTACCTACCTTGTCCATTCTCTACCTCCCGTGTTTCTTACGTGAGAGGTCGTGTCTTGCTTTACCTGCAGTGCACAGTGTCATGCAAGTTTCTCATCTCCGTGGAGGTGGCTCTTCAGGGTAAACTTCTAGAGGAGGGATTAAGTGAAAGACTCACTGGATATGTGGGGGTTAGTTGCTGCTGTCTGGGACATGTGATGTTATTAAATGTGGCCAAGTAGCCTCCCACGGTACGTGGGCCATGTTCCCTCCCCCCACGCCGCCTGCAGAGGGTACTGTACTGAATTCATGAATTCTTCCCCATCTCACGTGTGAGAAAGACTACTTGGTATGGTTCTGATTTGCGTTTCGTTTCATATGCGTGAATTTGAGCATATTTTTATATATTTAAGCCATTTCAATGTCATTTTGTGTGAACTGTCCATGTCTCTTGTCCATTTTCTACTGAGCTTTTGACCTTCATTCGTTTCCCTGATATTTTTGGTGGTGGTTTATTTATTTAGGTTGCCAAATAAACACTGTAAATATGATACACAACATGATGTTTTAAAAACCTGTGTGCTTGATGGAATGACTAAATCAAGCTAATTAACATGTGAATTATCTTGCATATCATGTATTTTTGGTGAGAACACTTAAAATCTACTCTTAGCAATTTGCAAGCATACAATACCTTGTTATTAACTATAGGCACGTGTTCTACAATAGATCTCTAGCTGAAATTTTGTGTCCTTTGACCAACATCTCTCAAATCCCCTGCACTTATTCCTTGTGTTGTCGTTGTTGTTGTTGTTGTTTTTAAGTTTGTTATATATTATGGAAAATAATCTTTTATCTATGATATATTGTTGCAAATGTTTCCTACCAATTTCTCATGGGGCTTTGTTTATGGTGTGTTTTGCCATGCAAACCTTTTTTATGTCATCAAATTTATCAATCTTTTCTTCCATTTTGTTTGCTTTTTTTTGAATCACACAAACGCTCAGTGGAAATGTGTTTGGATTTTGAATAGTGAGAAAGGTTTTTCTCACATCCGGCTATAGAGGAATTCACCCATGTTTTCCTCTAGTACTTATATGTTTTCATTTTTTCCATCGGGACCTCTAAATTTATTCTTGTGCATGGTGTGAGATCTGGATCTACTTTTATCTTTTTCAAATGGCCATCCAGTTGAGACTTCTGATCCATGAATGCAATCCGTTTCTCCGTTTAATTAAATTTTTAATTTTTTCATCTTTGTTGTCTAGTTTTCAGTATTCAAGTCCTGTGCATGTTTTATTAGATTTGTACCTAATTATTTCAGTTCTTTTGAGCAACTGTAAATAATATTGTATTTTTAATTTTGATGTTCATATATTCATTGCTACTATAAAAAAATGCAATTGATTTTTGGGTGTTGCTCTTGTCTCCTGTGAACTGCCTGGACTCTCTTGTTAATTTTCTAGGAGCTTGTTGTAGATTCCTTGGGATTTTCTACATAGACAATGATATCATCTGCAAATGAGAGCAATTTTATTTCTTTCTTTCTGATCTGTGTATGCTTTTCATTTTCTTTTCCTGCCTTATTCCACTGGCTACAGCTTCTAGTTCTTTGTTGAATGAGAATGACAAGTGCAGACATTCTTGCATAGTTCATGATTTTAGGGGAAAAGCAGCCTTTCACTAGTTAGTATAATGATAGATTATGGGTTTCTTGTAGATGTGTTCTTTATCGAGTTGATAAAATTCCCCTCTATTTCTATTTTTCTGAGAGTTTTTAATCAGAAAGACTGCTGAATTTTGTTAAATGTTTTTCTGCATCAGTTGATATGATCCTTTGGTTTTTCTTCTTTACCTCATTAATACAGTGAATTACACTGACTGGTTTTCAAATTTTGAAGCAGCTTTGCATCCTTAGAATAGACCCCACATAGTTATGGTGTGTACTTCTTTTTACATATTGCTGAATTCTATTCACTAATATTTTTATTTTTTTACATCTTTTTTTGCATCTGGTTTCATAAGGGATGTTGGTCTGCAGTTTTCTTTTTTATTCTTTCTTTGTCTGATTTTGATATCAGGGTAATACTAGCTTCATTCACTTCCAAGATGAATTTGGAAGTATTCTCTCCTCTTCTATTTTCTGGAAGAGATTGTATAGATTTGATATTAATTCTTTCCATTTTTGGTATAATTCTCCAGTGAAACCATCTAGGCCTGGATATTTCTTCTTTGGAAGTTTTAAAATTATAAATTCAATTTCCTTAATAGTTATAGGACTATTCAAATAATCTACTTTATATTGAGTGAGTTGTGATAGTTTATATATTTTGAGGAGTTGGTCCATTTTATAAATTTGTCAAATTTATGTATGTAAGCTTCTCTGTAATACTCTATTATGGGCTTTCTTTTTTTTTTAATTTATTTTTTTATTTTTTGATGGCTAGCTGGTAAGGGGATCTGAACCCTTGACCATGGTGTTATCAGCACCTCACTCTCCCAGGTGAGATAACCAGTCAGCCCCTATTACCATCCTTTTTATGTCTGTAGTGTCTGTAGTGACATAACCTGTTTCATTTTTGATATTAGCAATTTGTGTCTTTTCACTTTTTTCCTGTAATTCTGTTAGGGATTTCTTAATTTTATTTATCATTTTAAAGAACCAGCTTTTCGTTTCATTAATTTTCTCTATTGTTTTGCTGTTTTTAATTTCATTAATTTCTGCTCTTTGTATTTTCTTCTGTCTGCTTGTTTTGAGGTTTTTTTAATTCAATTTTATTTATATTTATTTTGTGGTGTACAGTGTATTGTTTCAGTACATGCATATCCTGCACAGTGATTCATTTAGCATAGTTTTGTCCCCATTAGTTCACCCCTAATCTTCCCTCCCACCCCCACCCCTTCCAGCCTGGTAACCATTATTCTACTCTTTTTTCTTTTCTTTTTTTTTAACACCCAGAGATTAACATCCTTATTGCAAAAAGAACTCTTAAAAATGAATTAGAAAAATCTAAGTAGAAATTTGGTGAAGGACATGAGCAGATAAGTCACACACCCCAAAGACACACCCCTGGTTACTAAGCACATTCTAGGATCTGGATGTGAGTGGGGTCAGGGCTGGCCTGGCCACCATCTCAGGAACCTGGGCATTGGCCAGTTCCATTGCTGGCCTGGATGTACAGCAATGGGGGTGGGGCTAAGGCCCATGGCCCCATCTCCTAGGACCCCCTGTGATTGGTCTTGCTTTCTTGCTGGCCTGGATATGCTGCTTTGAGTTTATTTTGCTTTTCTTTTTCTAGGTTTTCAAGATAAGAGCTTAGCTTATTGACTTGAGATTTTTCTGCTTTTCTATTGTAAGCATTTAGTCCTATATGTTGCCTCTTGTTAACCCTTTAGCGGTGTCCCACAAATTTTGATGTGTTGTATTTAATTTTTATTCAATTGAATGGTTTTTTTTTCATTTCCCTTGAGATTTCTTCATTGACCTATGAATTATTTAGAAGTATGTTACTTGATTTCCAAGCATTTGGAGGTTTTTCTGTTATTTTTCTGTTATTGATTTCTAGTTTGATTCCATTGTGGCTGGTTAACACACTCTGATTTTGGTTCTTTTAAATTTGTGGACAGCTTTGCATACTATAATCACCAAATAAATAATAACAAAAACATTTATTGAGGTGTTTTATTTGTCCCAGGATGTTGTCAGTCTTCATGTGTGTTCTGTGAGCACTCAAATGAATGTGTTCTGCTATAATTGGGTGTTCTATAAATGTCAGTTAGTTCCTGCTAGTTGTTAGTGTTGTTGAGTTCTTCTATATCTTTGCTAACTTTCTGTCTAATTGCTCTATCAATTGTTGAGAGAAGGGCGTTAAAGTCACCAACTATAACTGTAAAATTGTCTATTTCTCTTTCCTGTTCTATTAGTTCTTGCTTTACATATTTTGTGTCTCTGTTGTTTGGTGCATTTAGGATCTCTATGTCTTCATGGTAGTCGACCCTTTTCTTATTATATATGTCTCTGGTAAATTTCTTTGCTCTGAATCCACTTTATCTGATATTAAGATAGCTAGTCCTGCTTTCCTTTGATTAATGTTTGTGTGATACATATTTCCTATTCTTTCACTTTTAACCATCTATATCATTTTATTTGAAGTAAGTTTCTTGTAGACAGCATATAGTTAGATCATATTTTTTAATATACTCT